CAACTTCATTGAGGTGTAATTGACGTAGAATAAACTATATGTGTTTAAAGTGGACAGTTTGATAAGTTTTGACATATACCTGTGAAACTGTCCATTACCCCCCAAAAGTTTCCTTGTTTCCTTTGTCATGCCCTTTCTCCCCTACTTCCCTCTCCCCTCCCCCAGGCAATCATTAATCTGCTTTCTGTCACTAGATTGGTTTGCATTTTCTGTTTTATATAAATGGAATCATACTGCATATACTAATTTTTTGTGTATGGGGGTCTGGCTTCTTTCACTCAGCTTAATTATTTTGAGGTTAACCCATGTTTATGGATAGTGTGTATCTATTACAATTTTTTTTTTATGCATTCAGTAACCAGCTGATGGACTTTGGATTGTTAGCAGTTTTTAGCCACTACAAATAAAAACTGCTGGTGAACATTTGTGTGCATGTCTTTGTATGGACATTTATTTTCTCTTGGATAAATACCCAGGAGTAGAATGGCTGGGTCGAATAGTTTAAATCCTTTAATTTTTTAAGGAATTGTCAAAGTGCTTTCCAAAGTGGTTTTGTCATTTTTACACCCCTATCAGTCTGTGAGAGTTCCAGTTGCTTCACATTTTTGCCGGTACTTGATGCGGTCAGTCTTTTCCATTTTTAAAAACTTCAGTCCTTCTAATAGTTGCATAGTGGTACCTGATTGTTTTAATATGCATTTCCCTAATGACTAAGGAAGCTGAACAGCTTTTCATGTGCATCTTTGGTGAAGTGTTTTAAAATCATAAACCCATTTAAAAAATTGAGTTGTTCATTTGCTAATTGTTGTTTTGAGAGCTCTTTATTCTGGATACAAGTCCTTCATTAGATATATGATTTGCAAACATTTTCTATCACTCTGTGCATTATCTTTTCTCATAACAATGTCTTTTCAAAGAACAAAAGTTTTGTGCTTTTGGTGTCATGTCTAAGAAATCTTTGTCCAACCCAAGGTTAAAAAGTTTTTCACTTCTGATTTCTTCTAGAAAACTTAATAGTTTTAGGTTTTACATTGAGATCTGCAATCCATTTTGAATTAATTTTTTTATATAATACCAAACTATGGGTGAAAGTTCATTTTTTGCATATGGATATCTAATTTTTCAGTACCGTTTGTTGGAAGACTGAATTGCCTTTTATCTTTGTCAAAAATCAATTGTCTGTATATGTGTGGGAATGTTTCTGGACCCTCTATTCTGTTCCACTGATCTTTGTGCAAGTACCACATGGTCTTTGATTACTATAACTTTATAATACATCTTGAAATCAGGTATTGTTCACCCTCCAACTTCTTTTTCAAAGTTGTTTTGGCCATTCTAGTACCTCTGCATATTCGTATGGATTTTAGAACTAGTTTGTCAGTTTCTACAAAAATGTCTGCTGGGATCTTGGTTGAAATTGCTTTAGCTCTATTAAATCAACTTGGAGAGAATTGACATTCTAACAGTATCAAGTCTTCCAGCCCAATAACAAATATATGTGTGTATATATATCCATTTATTTAGGCCTTTAATTTCTCTCCACAATGCTGTGTAGTTTTCACTGTACAGATCTTTCACATCTTTTGTCAGATTTATTCTTTTTTTAATTGTTGAGTCTTTTTAAAAAATTTTTGTTGGAGTATAGTTGATTTACAGTGTTGTGTCAGGTGTACGTCAAAGTGAATCAGTTATATGTATACATATATCCACTATTTTTTAGATTCTTTCTCATATAGGTCATTGCAGAGGATTGAGTATAGCTCCCTGTGCTACAAAGTAGGTCCTTATTAGTTATCTATTTTATATATAGTAGTGTGTATATGTGAATCCCCATCTCCCAATTTATCCTCCCCCCCTTTCCCCCCAGGTAACCATAAGTTTTCTACATCTGTGACTCTATTTCTGTTTTGTAAATAAGTTCATTTGTACCATTTTTTTAGATTCTAAGTATAAGCGATATCTTATGATATTTGTCTTTGTCTGACTTACTTCACTCAGTATGACAATCTTTAGGTTCATCCATGTTGCTGCAAATGGCATTATTTCGTTCTTTTTTATGGCTGAGTAATATTCCATTGTATATATGTACCATATCTTCTTTATCCACTCCTCTGTCGATGGACATGGTTGCTTCCATGTCTTGGTTATTGTAAATAGTGCTGCAATGACAGATTTATTCTTACGGGTATTTTTTTTTATACTATTGTGTTTTGTTATTTTGTTTTTTTGGGTTTTTTTTTGTTTTTTTGGCTGCACCACGAAACTTGTGGGATCTTAGTTCCCCAACCAGGGATCAAACCCAGGCCCACAGCAGTGAAAGCGTGGAGTCCTAACCACTGGACCACCAGGGAATTTCCTGTACTGTTGTGTTTTTAGTTTCAGTTTCTGATTGTTTATTGCTAGTTATAGAAATACAATTGATTTTTGTGTACTGATTTTGTATTCTGCAACCTTCCTAAATTCACTTAATCTAGTATAGTTTTTTTGTAGATTTCATCAGACTTTTTCATACAAATAATTATGTCATCTATGAGTAAAGACAGTTTTACTTATTTCTTTTCAGTCTGGATGCCTTTTAATTCTTTTTCTTGCCTGATTGTGTTGGTTGGAACCTCTAGTACAGTAGTAAAGAGAAGTAGTAAGAATAGATATCCTTGTCTTGTTCCTGATCTTAGGGGGAACCCTATCTTATTTTTAAACCTTCTTTTAAAATGTCTTTTTCAGGTTGTTATATTATTTCTTATTCTTGGGGTGCAGTCTCTGATGGCTGTATCAGCTGATTTCCCTGTGGGAGGTTTGTTTCTCTGTGTTTGTTTTTTCTTTTTTTTTTTTTTTCTTTAAACACTGAACTTGGGAATTCCCTGGTGATCCAGTGGTTGGGGCTTCATGCTTTCACTGCTGGGAGCCCAGGTTGGGGAACTAGGATCCCACAGGCCACATGGAGCAGCCAAAAAACAAAAAAAGCACAAAAAACAAAAAAACTGAACTTAAGTCCTATGTGTCTCAGATTGTGGAATCATCTCTACTGTACAGTTTTTCATTTGCTCTGTTGTGGTCCTATTTCATTCTTTAGTTCTGAACCTTATTTATGATGAAGTGTCAGATTGAGGTCCTTGTACCATACGTGTAGTGTGAATTTAGACTTCACATCTGTGAATGATGCAGGCCTGGGATCCATTTTCTTCCAGGTAACCTTTTCCATCTCTAGGCGCAGGTGCAGTGCTTGCTGTTCTCTCAGTGAGCCGAGTGTTTCTATTTCCTGTTTCATGGATGGAGTAGACCTTTACGTTTCTTGAATTTATAGCCAGTTCAACTTGTTGGCTTGGCACAGGGACTATGGCCTAGATTCCTTTGCGGTTCGTAGGCATTAAGGCATCTGTCTGGTTTAGATATTCCTGTGTATCATTTGGCTTCAGCTCTGGACTACTGTAATAGCCTTGTTTTTTTTGGCTGGGCCACACGACATGTGGAATCTTGTTCCCCAACCAGGGGTCGAACCTGCGCCCCCCCTGCATTAACCACTGGGCTGCCAGCGAAGTCCCCTGTAATAGCCTTTTAAATGGGCCCCCCAGATTCCACTCTTAGACGCCTAATATCCATTCCCGACACAGTGATCATTTATTTGATTTAAATTTTAGTGCCTGTGTTGTCACCTTCCTTGGGCACCATTCCTACTCTCTGGTTACTCTGGCTTTTTATTTTCCCTAATGCCCTGGTCTCCCACTCATGTCAGGGCCTTGTACAAAGGCTGTTCCCTCTGCCTGGAATACTCTTCACCACCACAGCTCTTCTCCTTGCCATTGCCTCTTCATCTTTGGTTCTTATCTCAGATATCACTCTTGATTTCAGAAGTCTTTCCTGACCCCTCAGATTGGTTCAGGTTTTCCTGTCCTTGTGTATCTCATAGCTTTATTTATTTTTATTTATTTGTTTTTTTTTTTTTTGGTACACGGGCCTCTCACTGTTGTGGCCTCTCCCGCCGCGGAGCACAGGCTCCGGATGCGCAGGCTCAGCGGCCATGGCTCACGGGCCCAGCCGCTCCGCGGCATGTGGGATCTTCCCGGACCGGGGCACGAACCCGTGTCCCCTGTATCGGCAGGCGCACTCTCAACCACTGCGCCACCAGGGAAGCCCCATCATAGCTTTATTTTAATGGCATTTATCACAGTTTCTCTCAGATATAAACTGTCTGAGGGTAAGGACTTTGTCTTGCTCATCACTGTATTTCCAGCACTGTCAAGAGTGCTTATACAGGTAGATATACAAAAAAGATTGTTAAGTGGATGAATATATTCACTGAGTAATTTCCTCCATTAGACTGTAAGCTTCGAGAGGGTAGGACATTTTATTTTGTTCATTAGAGTATTTCTCAGTGCCTACAGACCCTGGGATATTATAGGTGCTCAGTAAACATTTGGTGACTGACGAATTGAATGAATGAGTGAGAAAAGTAGTTTTAAATAAGGAAGGAGGCCAGAGTAAGGTCATTTAATAAAGAATTTTATTTGCAATGCTGAGAAGCTTAAATTTTAGACTCCTTGGGGAATTTTAAGCAGGAGAGTGACATGTGCAGGCTTACATTCAATCTAGAAGGATCCCTTCAGCAATTATGTGGAGGGTAGTTGGAACATTATAAAGCTATTGCTGTAATATAGGAAAGAGATCAAGCCCTGATATAAGGTAGTTGGAATAGAGAAGACAAATTCAAGGAAATTTAGAAATGCTGTATGTTAGATTAAGATAATGACTGGATTAAGGTAGGGGAAGAAGGGGAAGAATCTAGCATCACTCCCTGAGTTTCTTATTTGGGAGACCACCTAGAGTAGGCACTCTAAGAAGAAGGGCAGGTTTGGGAGTGAATGAATTTAAGTGAGACGTTAATTTTTTTTTAACATGGGACATCTGGATAATTTTATTGATTTTTGGTAGATTTAGCTGGATTATGGATATTCTTTTTTTTCTCCCTCACACATACTTAATCCTTTATGTATAAATATACAAAACCTACCACCCCTTGTTTTTTAAGAAACTGATTTGAGTTAAGCAGTTCTTTTACTAGGGACATGTTCCATTTGAGTTTCCTGTGAGATATCCAGGTGGAGATGTACATAGGTAATATGGAGCTCAGTTGAGAAGGTCTGTTTCTGTACTAGTCCTTATAATTTCAGTTAAAACAACCTGATGGGCACCAACACCCATACATAGGCGCGAACCGGCGTGTCCTTGGGCTTAGAGAGCGGGACGTTCGGCTTGCGAGAGGGAACCTCTTAGTCGTGTACGGAGAAAGAACGATTTAAAAATGGGTGATGTTGAGAAGGGCAAGAAGATTTTTGTTCAGAAGTGTGCCCAGTGCCATACTGTGGAAAAGGGAGGCAAGCACAAGACTGGGCCAAATCTCCGTGGTCTGTTGGGGCGAAAGACAGGTCAGCCTGTCGGATTCTCTTACACTGATGCCAACAAGAACAAAGGCATCACCGGGGGAGAGGAGGCACTGATGGAGTGTTTGGAGAATCCCAAGAAGTACATCCCTGGAACAAAAATGATCTTCGCTGGCATTAAGAGGAAGGGAGAAAGGGCAGTCTTGATAGCTTATCTCAAAAAAGCTAATGCGTAATCGTTGGCCACTGCCTTATTTATTATGAAACAGATGTCTCATGACTTTTTATATGTACCATATTTAAATTGATCTCATACACTAGAATTCAGATCATGAATGGCTGATTTTTTGTCCTGATTTAAATAACATTGGCTTGTGGCTAAACGAATATGGTCAGCTTTTTGAATTTTGATAGTAATTGCGGTTCAACAAGTACTATCACTGCTTTCCCTTTCTAAAGAGATGATTAAACTTGAATAAGGAATATTAAACTTTTCAGGGATATGGTGAAGCCTTCTCAAACCCTATAGGAGATTGGTTTTATATTTAGATTTCTATAACTGATTATATTAATATATTTAAATATTGAGAAGCTCCCTTCACTGTCTCATAGAACAGCAAGAGTCACCTGTGTTTCAAGCTGTGTTCATTTGCCTGTTAAAGCAAGGGCTGAAGATACAATGACAATGTCCACTTTATCTTTTTGGTCTTAACTATGCCAATTTAATTAAAATTCTCTATCTAAAAAAAAAACAAAACAAAACCAACCTGATGATTTTGACTTTTTCTTTTTTTTATAGTTTTTTTTTGGCCACAAGGCATGTGGGATCTTAGTTCCCTGACCAGGGATCAGGGATCAAACCCCTTGCAGTGGGGGCACAGAGTCCTAACCACTGGACTGCCAGGAAATTCCCTACTTTTTCTGTCTTAGGCAGTTTCAGCATGCTTTGTCTCCCGTCTTTGCAAAGCTGTAGTAGATTTTTCTTCCCTTTGTTTCTGTCCTTCTTTTTTGGCCCTTTGCCAGGTAAACTTAGGGATTGCTGACTTCTGACTCCTGCATTTTTCCCATGTCCACATTTTCCTCTCTCCTCTCTTTTTCTCAAAGATCATTTAATTTTTTTCCTTTTAGGGTTCTTTTAAATTTATTTATTTTTGGTTGCATTGGGTCTTCGTTGCTGTGTGCAGGCTTTCTCTAGTTGCGGCGAGCAGGGGCTACTCTTCGTTGTGGTGCGTGGGCTTCTCATTGCAGTGGCTCCTCTTGTGGCGGAGCACGGGCTCTAGGTGCACAGGCTTCAGTAGTTGTGGCACGTGGGCTCAGTAGTTGTGGCTTGCGGGCTCTAGAGCTCAGGCTCAGTAGTTGTGGCGCGGGCTTAGTTGCTCCGCGGCACGTGGCATCTTCCCGGACCAGGGCTCGAACCCTTGTTCCCTGCGTTGGCAGGCAGATTCTTAACCACTGCGCCACCATGGAAGCCCTAGGGTTCATTTTTATCAAAGTTATATGTATACATAGTTTGTGGAATCGAATAGTTCTGTAAAGTTTTTTAAAAAATAAAATACCTTTTCCCCTTTATTTCCCTTCAGAGGCACTTTTAGAGCTTTTTTTAGTTAATACTTTTTGGTATTTATCTCCATTTCTCTAAATAATATGCTTATATTGCTATTTCGGTACCATCAGTTGTAAGATACACCATAATTTTATGTACTACTAAAAAAGAGAAGTAGGCCCAAAATGGGTAATCTGTAAGAGGCCCTGCTTAAAGCTGGGAAACTATATGAGAATGTAAATGAGAAGAAGCCCACCACACAGAAAGGGACAGCAAGGCAGCTCACATGTCTCAACCCTGGCGTTGTGTAGGAGGGGTAAAAACTTTCTTTGGAATTTGAACTGGTTTTCAGTTTGAATTCACACTACCTATGTTGTACCAAAAACTCAGAGATTTTTAAATAGAGATTGTTTGAGGTTGGTAGTGTCTTAGGCACTTAGAAGAAACAAATAACAGTTGTCATCAGTTGTGTCTGGATTTCAGAGATGTTAAGATATGAAGAAAAAAAAAAAGCCATCTTAGAATCAGTGAAATGTGGTTCCATGTGCCAGACACTGTTCTTTCTTTTTCTAGGAGTTTTGCTGTCCTGGAGAGCAGAGAAATGGATACATAGCTGGAGGGGAAACTGGAGTTAAGAGTTGTCTTTTAAAATGGGAGCAATCATTATATACCTGAAACTAATATAATGTTATCTGTCAATTGTACCTCAATAAAAAACTAAAAATAAAATGGGAGAAGTAAGAATGTGTTAATACAATGCCAGTAGAGATGATCCAGTAGAGAGGGAAACAGTGCTGATGCAGAGTGAGAATGAGGAATGACTGGGCAGTAGGGTTTGGGATCTGGTATCCAAGTGGAGGCATTGGCTTTAGACAGGAGCGGTCAGTTCATTCACAGTAAGTAACAGGAGGGAAGAAAAGGCAAATGGGAACCGGTGGTGGTAGTGGTGGAGATTGCTTCCTCTTTCACTGAGAAAATGGAATGAAGGGCAGCAGCTGGGAGTGAAGATGGAGAGGTGTTGATGGCTTGAGGAGGAAGGAAATGAAATGAAATGGACCTATAGGGGGGTGTGGGAGAACGAATGGATAAGGCAAAAGTTGTAGGATTGTCATGCTGAGCTATGAGACCATTTAAAGTCAGCAACTGTGAATTTTAAGTGAGACTGTTTGGCATAGGTGTGTTTGTTTTCATCTTTTTCTTTTCAAAGCCATGTTTGGTTGCTTGTTGCAGGCGTAGCGTAGAGAGACAGTTGTATTTTTTACCATGTTATTAGGGAAAAATTTAAATATACAAAAGAAATAGAGCCCTCATGTACTCATCACACAGCTTCAACACATATTAACTCATGGCCAATCTTTTTTGTTTTTATTTTTTAAAGTCTTTATTGAATTTGTTACAGTACTGCTTCGGTTTTTTTTTTACGTTTTAGTTTTTTAGCTGCGAGGTATGTGGGATCTTAGCTCCCCGACCAGGGATCGAACCCTCACCCCCTGCATTGGAAGGGGAAGTCTTAACCACTGGACTGCCAGGGAAGTCCCCCAATCTTGTTTTATCTGTTGTCTTACGCACTTCCATCCTTTCTTATTATTTTGAAGCAGTCCCAGACATCATATTTTATGCATAAATATTTCATATTGTATCTCTAAAAAATACGGACACCTGCAAAAAAAAATACCATTACCACACCAAAAAAATTTATAATTCCTTAATATCAAATATCCTATCAGTTTTCAAATTTTCAATTGTCTCTCTTTCACTCTCTTTTGGCTTTTGATTTTTTAATTATTACTCAAAAAAGCTTCATTTTAAAAATTTAGTTTTCTGACTCTGTGTTTCTGCCTTTAACACTTTCAGAACGATTTTCTGCTCCTCAATAAGAAAAATACGCTTGATCCTGCCATGGACACATTTAGTACACGTGGAACCACACACAGTAGGCCCTGCTGACATGTTTTTTCATTTTAGACAACCTCATAAGAACTTTAGGTCTCACAGCACAAACTCCTAGAAGTCGGCCTGGGTACACACCACATGTGGATTTTGGTGCTTTCGCAACCTTCTTGGTTTGAAGGTAAACAATTCTGTTTCCAGGGGTTTGGGGCAGCCTAGTTTTGTTAGAGGCTGTGTTGTAGGATAGTCTACAACGGTATGTCAAGTGCCGGACCACTCTGAATGCCTTTAGATACCATCCCTGGAAGAGGAAAAAGAAAGCTATTGTGAGCTCAAAAGTCAGATATGACGTCACTTGTCTCTTGAATGTCCTAAAGGGTTTAGTTGTTTGACAGGAAATTATATTTAGCAAGGGTAGGTGTTTTGCCAGACAAGTATGATAAAGTGTGGGAGGGTGCAAAAGTCTGAGATGCAGGAAAGGGAGTGATTGTAATGATGGACCTTGAGCTCTAAGCTAAGGTAGGAAATGACAGGAGAGGGGGTGGGATCAATTGCTTGTAAGTTCTGTTGAGGTCAAAGTGTTCTTGGAGTTGGGGTGCTAGAAGGAGCAGTCTGCAAAGATGGGAAGTGGTGATTGGAGAACGGGATGCAGATGAAGTGGAGATCATGGAAGGACTGTAGTTATCATACTGACAAGTTCTAGGATATTGACTAAGGGAGTGAGTGGCTAAAGTAGGGTAGAGGACAAGATCATTGCATGTGCGGAGGTCAAGGAACTGAGAGGTCAGAGTATCACAAGAGTCATCTAGGTGAACATTTGAAATCACCTGGAATTATGACAGTCCAGTGAGGTAGGAACCAAAAGCTTTGAGGTTTGAGAAGAAGTGACCCAGCTTATCCAGATAAATGTAGCAGAGGGGTGGGGAGGTGGAGGTATGGTCTGACAGGGGCTTTTTTTGGGAAGGAAGAAAGGGGAATAACCTGGAAGCAGAAAGAAGGTACAAGGTGAGTACCTCCTTCTTCTACCCCCAGGCCCAGTAGTATAACGGGTGTGGGAGAGAAAACAACCACAGATAGGACTGTAGAGAGAGCAGTGGCCTCGACAGTTAGATTTCAATTAGAGCAAAAAGGTGAAGGGACCATTCACACAAGAGGTTGAAGATATAGGGGGTTTTGCTGATGAGTTCCAGAGGATATGATGGAAGGATTTCAGGAATTGAGGGACGAGTGGGAGAGGGGGCTGGTTCATGAAAGATGGTGTACTTAGCCATATGGGGATGAGAGTTGGAGGATTTGGAATGACTCCAGAGTCCTGGGATTCTTGTAGTGAGTGATATAAGTAGGGTTAGAGATCATAATGAGATTAGTCTTGATGTTTCAAGGCAAATTGTAGTATAAGTAGATGCAGGATAGAGATATGGGAAGAAGCTGCAGGGTAAAAGGGTTCCTTGACTACTGGTGCTGGTGTAGAGGCTGGGGGAATGCACAGCTGGAGCTCTGTTACTTGCTTTCTACTCCTGGGACCAAAGTGACCTGCAGTAAAAAGCTGTTAATCCATCTCTTCAAAAACTAGAATTCCCTGTTCTATTTCCTGTTGTTTACCTTCCCTGCTTCTGTTTTCTCCCCTTTCTTACTGAAAAGTAGAATATTTGGATGTTTTTAGTACCCTATTCTTAAATATCCTACATATCCTGGAAACTGGTAAATGACACTGTTACTAGCTTGCTGGGGAAATGACAGCACGATTACAGTAAGGAAGTGGGGAGGTGTAGCTTTAGAGTTGGAAAGGGAAGGGAGGGAAGAGGTTTCAGGCAGAATTAGCTTTCAATTCCTTCAATCGGGCCGAGGAAACAGAGGAGTTAGAAGAGGGAAAGAGTTTGACCTGTGTCCTGGGAGGGGAGAGGAAAGTACTGTTTGGAAGGAGAGAACAGATCCTGTCAGTACCCAAGGATCTGTGTCCTGACAGGTTCCTGAAAGAGCTGTTGCTGGATGGGAGACTCAACTATTGCTGGATTCACTCATTTCAGTGGATATTTCCTAGCATCTACTATGTGCCAGGCA